CATTCTAGCTCTTCTAAATGCTACTAGTCTTAGACTCCTTTGAGTTCACTCAGGCTATACTGAGCTTTCTATAACTTAGAGAGACCATTAGCTCCCTTGTTTTCGTGGGCTTAATCCTGAGGACTTATCCATTCTCGTCACCTGCTCACTCGCCCTTTCTTATCCTTACTCCTACCTTCCTAAAACCTTGTCGCTTTACCATACTTTAGCTTGCGACCTACACATATCTATTTATACTACTCGCAACCTTCCTTCAACTTGCTTGTACCATAGATTTCCTCGTGTTATTCTGGAACATCAAGCGAGACATCACATCGTCTCTAACTCTTCTTTACTCTTTTAACTAGACCTCTTGATACATAGAAACCATAGGTCAGAAAATATGCCACTGACGATGCTGTTATCATTCCTGGATACAGAGTCTTAGTGCTTCTGGCCTTCTATCTGAAGTATGGACTATTCACAACCTTCTACATTTGAGTATCTCGTACGTTGTTCACCTATACCTTACTTACCTTAAAATCTCACCTCATATCTTCTATCTCTTTTATGACCTCCCTTCCATATAGGTATAATTCACATCCACGACTTGAAGCTCTATTATAATATTTGCACCTCTGGTGCATACACAATCCGGTAGGAGCTTCATACTGACTTCTTATGAGGCTGGTACTTTTCTAACTGGCTTTATCGTAGAGCCGTTATAGAATATGGTTGTTGTACTATCTCTCTTGAACCTCTGATATTAAGAGTGATTCTGCAATGTTCTCAATCATGATGTTTAAAATTTTCTGGGTCCAATAATCAGACTCCTGATTTGTTTTGTTGATGTAACTCTTTAGTTTCCTCTTTCTTCTGATCAACCTTCATGTAGGCTTAAGCTATCTTCCGATATGCGGCTCCTGGTATTAGTTATTACTTTAGTCTTTCATAGCCGCTATGGAATATCCGTGATACCATCATCTAACAATTCAATCCCTTGTCTATGACCTGGACTCAATTCTTTCTTTAAATGTAAGCAATTACTTTTCATGGTCGTTTTTCCGCTTGTTGCATGCATACTTAGCTTATCTTAGTTCCCACGCATGCCAAAATTTTCGTGCAACTCATATGATCTTAAATATTACTTTTGATTTTTCTTCCCATTCCTTAGCCACGGTAAGTGCCACTTTCTCATGGAGTGCATACAATGTTGTAGTGAGACTGTTTTTTTTTTTACATGACCATTTCCTCTTTAGGTCATTGTGCTTAGCATGAAGCCTTCTTCCTTTTTTCCTCGGCTAGTCTTTCGTTGTAGTATTTAGGGAAGACCCTTCTGACTCTTCTAAAGCTGCGAGCTTATTACATCGTATATTTGACGGAATTTTTGATGTCCTTCCTCGCCTATAATTATCCGTAGTTACTTACCTCCATGCCCTTGTGCCTGTAGGGTTGCTTCTGAACTGATATTTTTACTGTCTTTCCAGTGGGACTCTCTTTTATTTCAGTAACACTCATATGGTACCTTTAACTTCCCCCAACTCCTATTTGAATATTTCTCAAGGATCATAATGTCATACCTGAGAGACTGAATTTCCCATGTTGGTGTTCACTATGTTTATCTTGCACGATCTGTTGATTTGTCTGTATCCTCTTGTCTAGCCATAACTAGGCTCTTCCTGAATCAACTGCTAACTATTCGTTGGCCCATTCTCATATCAACATTCCGCGTAATCTTTCTTGGGTTATTTCCTTTATCTTAACTTATGTCTCGCACTGGCTTTTTATTTATCAATAATATCTCGAGCAGAAGCCCTTACTTCCTCTCCTTGACATCGTGCTTGCATAATGTTCTGGAATCGTAGCATATCTATAGGATTTGGGTAAGTGCAAGCTCATTCCTTTTTCATTTTTTTCGCATTCTTCCTTTACCATTCCATAATTACTAGAACCATTTAATTCTGACTTCATGCCACATCACTCCATATTCTCCCCTTTAGGGGAGTACTAAGAGTTAGAGCTATGACGATCTACCTATAGATGTTTTACCTCTTCATCTTTGGCGTCTTTTCACATCATCAATGACCCTTACTTGCCTCGCGATAACCCTTCTGTACCAAGGATAACAATTTCCTTACTCGCGAGGGTGACACTTAGTATAACTGGCACACATAGTCCCTTAAGCTTAACTTTTCTCCCATTGCTTGCTTTAGGGAAGCGTCTTCCTGAATGACCATTCTCTGAATTTCTCATGAATCTTCTTTTGTTGTCCATTCTATTATGATCACAATCTGAAATCCTCATAATGCTGACCATTATCAATTCACTCAGTTCCTAATTCATATTTAGTTTATCTTGTTCACCATCCCATACTGATTTCTATTATTCTGGGATCTAACTTTTCCTTCTGGTAGTCGCGTTAGAGTCACAAACTTATTTCTCGAAATGAGGATATGACTTTATGGCCTATACTCTTTTGTTGTCTCAAGGCCTGTCACCTCTCATCTTTTCCTTTACTTAACTATAGACTCTGCAATACTATTATCTTTTTGATCTACCGTTGTCATCCATGTATCATATCTTACTCATAATACTTTATTAACTCTCTTCTTATTTCCAGCTAACATTTATGCCTATCACTTTATTCTGAAAACTCGAACAATACATTCTTTTGCTTTTAGCTCCCCTTGCTCCATCTACTGGCTCTTCGGGTTGCCTAACATTCTTTCTCTACTAGGGACGGGAGTCACACTAAGATAATATTTATCCCTTCAGGATTCCAGTGCCTATCTTTGAACATTCTAGTATTCATATCTAGCTGTATAATTCTAGAGTGCACCATCTGGGTGTCTCACAAGGAGACCTATTAGCACATTTGCAATATCCTTCGGAAATGTCAACTAACGCAAACAATCCATTCATCATTTTGGGTTACTCTAACTCCAGCCGGATCCTGATATCTCGTCCTTCTCTCAAACCATATTTGTTGGATCCCATGGAGCATAACTAAAATTGGTGTGGCCAATTGTACATACATATATCATTGTTGAAGGTAACTCAAAATGCTTATATTTCTCTGCTTGAATTGTAAATACTGATAATCTTCATTAACAGGGTGTCTCGTACCTTTCTTCACCTTGCTTCTTTTTCTCATCATGAGCATCATGCAAAATCGAGTTCCTCTAACTTAACTCTTCCACAACGATATCTCTTATCAACCGTCTTTTGAGATATAGGCATCGTCGTATTATGAATAAGATAGGGTTTAGAAAATTGAGTTCTTACAACTGAGCTCTACCACACGATTTAGAGTAAGAAGAAAGAGTGACAGTCCTAAATGCCCTGTAGCCTCCTGCTTATAAGTGTGGTGCACAACACACCCATAAACAAGACTATACCAGACACGGCTTGTAGACTCCCTAGGACAGAACTGCTCTGATACCACTTTTGTCACGACCCAAACTGATGGGCCGCAACGGGCACCCGATACCTTACTCAACCGAGTACCAACCTAATGTATCTTTCTTATCGTACTATCATTGATAAATGGGCCAAAATATTATCACAAAATAACTAGAGTGAAATGTGAGGGAACACTCGTCGTAGGATGACCCAACATGTAATACCAACTTATGCATATGACATATGGTATAAGGCCAAAATGATCACTCATATACTGAACATAGGCCGACAGAACCATATAATCTCTCACGTACATGACATATGTCTACAAACCTCTAAGAGTACATAAACGTCATAAGGCCGGGGCAGGGGCCCGACATACCAATCAATACGTGTCCGATGCATACTGACCAAATAGGCAACTCCAGAGCAAATGGAGCACACCAACATCTTCCGCTAAGCTGATCGCCTACTTAGAGGACTCTCAACCTGTCTATCGAGACCTGCGGGCATGAAACGCAGCATCCCCAGGCAAAAAAAGATGTCAGTACAAATAATGTACCGAGAAAAATCAGTAAATAATAGACATGAGAAACATGGAGTAAAAGACTCAACATGTAAGTCTGAATAGCTCTGTAAATCATTTCATATTTATAATGTCATGCATATGCGTATAAATGTCATACCATGCATAGGTATATGCATTCATAACATCATCAAGCCTCTGAGGGCATCCTATCATATTATCTCGGCCACTGTGGGCAAATCATCAACGTATACCAGCTGATCAGGTTGTGGTGCGTATATAATGCCGTAACCTTTTCCCATATCCCATATACATATATATACATATATACGCATATATAACGCCATCTGGTCATGAGTCAATGTAAATGAATGCAATGCATGTAAAGTACGTCAATAAAATCTTTCGGAATTTCATAAGACCATTATGTCTTTGATTAATATCATGAAATAAACTTTATCAACGTACATATTTTCTGAGACCCGTGAACAAATGATAAAATAATAGGACACATGGGGAATCAAGAACATAAGCATCTCTAGCATTTCTATGAATAGAGTCATTTAGGGAAGTTGTGCATTTGCTCGTTTCGTTTGTATCGTATGGATCATGCCAAAAAGGAAAGAAGGGATAGCCTTAACATACCTAAACCGATTATCTTGACAATCACTCTAACACACGTCTTTGGCGACGAAACACGTAACGGCGGATCGAAGTAGGAAACAATCCGTATGATATTCTTGGGAAAGATTGTACTGTGCTCTCTTAGAATTGCAAATCTCGTTGCTATTACGCCGTATAACTTCGTGAGAAATTTTATTGAAGCTTCATCCGTCGCTTGGCAGACCTCTCTTTCATTCATATGGCATGACAACATTTCATTGTAAGTTTCAACACTAGTATAATGGATATAAAAGTGGCTTGCAATTCGACCAAGCTTAGTGCAACAAAAGTTTCCACTTTTCTCATCAAAACACATCATTTTTGCTTTGTCAAGAGCACGAGCATCACTTATAAAATCTCTTTGCTTTAAGCTTAATGATGGATCTGCCATGACCTCATCCCATCCGATGATAATATAAGTAGTATAAAGATGAAGATGCCAACTTTCAAGGGAACAAGGGATCCAGACTTGTACCTTGATTGGGAGAGAAAAGTTGAAGCCATTTTTGACTGCCACAACTATTCTGAGGGTAAGAAAGTTAAACTTGCTGCTGTTGAGTTTTCTGACTATGCAGCAATCTGGTGGAAAAAGCTTTCTAGGGACAGATTGCAAGAAGGACAAGCACTCGTTGCTACGTGGGCTGAGATGAAGAGGGTAATGAGGAAGAGATTTGTGCCATCACACTTTCAAAGAGATCTACAACAATGTCTTCAAACTTTGAGGAAAGGGTCCATGTCTGTAGATGAGTACTTTAAGGCTATGGATATGGCTATGATCCAAGCTAATTGTATGGAGGAAGAGGAGGCTACAATGGCTAGGTTTTTGAATGGTTTAAATAGGGAAATAGTTGATGTAGTCGAATTACAACAATATATAACTTTAGATGAGTTAGTTGAATTAGATGTAAAGGTAGAAAGACAAAACAAAAGGAGACAACAATCTAGCTCATGGAGAAGCCGGCCAACTACTATTCCAAAGAAGCAACGGCCGAAATCTGAGGAGACACCTACTCTTAAATTCCATGAAGACAAGGGCAGGAGCAAATTGGAATCCAAGGATGGGGGTAAGCCTTTTACGCCTAAAACTTCTACTTCTACTTCTTCTATTAAATGTCTCAAGTGTCAAGGGAGAGGGCATAATTCTTATGAATGCCCAAGTAGAAGAAACATTCTAATCAAAGAGGATGGGGGATATGAGAGTGAAAAAGGTGAACCAAGTGAAGAACAAGGAGAAAACTTTGTAGAGAGTGAAGAAGGAAAAGAGATGGAGTACATTAATAGTGGGGTGAATTTTGTGGTTAGGAGGCTTATGCACATTAATTTGGGTCACTCTAATGAAGAACAAAGGAAAAACATATTCCATACTCGGTGTGAGATTAAAGATAAAATTTGTTCTATGATAATTGATAATGGGAGTTGTGCTAATGTTGTGAGTGCATATTTGGTGGAAAAGTTAGGGTTGGAATGGACGAAGCACCCTAGACCTTATAGGTTGCAATGGTTCAATGATAGTGGAGAGGTCAAGGTGAATAAGCAATGCATGGTCTCCTTCAAGATTGGAAGGTACGCTGACGAAGTTCTATGTGATATAGTACCCATGCAAGCTTGTCATATCTTGTTGGGGCGCCCGTGGCAGTATGATAGGAGTGCTTTTCACGATG